AAATGGGAACCAGTGTTGGTGTGGTATGGTTTGGTCTGGTCAGCAGCCTCGCATTCTGTAAGGAAGAACATATCTCTATCCTCAAGATGCAGCTCAAATAGGAAGCAGAAAATCTGACTGTTCTGTACTGCAGAGAAACAGAAAACAATCCCCCACAGAGTCTCTCTCTTGATTCTGATGTGCCTTTCAGCTCTCAAAGCTAAGGACAAAAGTGTTCACACTTCTAAGCCACATTTACGTGGGTTGACATTCTGGTTCTGCCACTTCCCAGCTATGAGATTTGGACAATTTACTTAAGCTCTCTGAGCCTCAATGTTCTTGAAGGTCAAGTGGAAGTGTTGACAGCAGCTTAAGAGGGGTGCAACAAACACTCTGTAAAGTCATGAATGTTAAGTAGGGGTATCTAGTTCGATATGGTGCATGGTGAGCTTGTATCTGCTCATCAATTGTTCTCCATGAATAAAAATCTCAGTTTATAGTGTTTGCCAACTTCCCTGGTATGAAAACTCTCACCATGGCTGACATCAAGCTACTAATATGTTGTCACCGAATGCAGGGTGAGGAGAGATGTGCAGAGCACAGTATTATATAGGGTTTCTACCATACAGTTGAAAATGATGTCAAAAGCGGAGATAACACTCAAACATACCAAAACAATTCTAAGTGATGAGTATTTTTTTTGTACCAGGGATCGAACTCAAGACCTTGCGCTTGCGAGGCAGGCACCAGTGCCACTGAGCTAAATCCCTGGCCCTAGTGATGAGAATTTATTACCTTTGTATTTTGAGTATTTTTTAGCTTTGTTTTTAAAATAATTTATTTAATTGTAAACTCACACCATGTAATTTTCCATGGTGGCTGTGCTTAATGACTAGCTCACAATCCACTCTCTCAAGCCAGGGCAAGCCAGCCTAAGCATGTCGCCCATCAGTAGGTGGTTCCTAAAGACGACTTCCCTTCCCTCTTCTTTTCCTTTCCTCGCCCTGCGGAGGAGTTCATGAAAGTTTTCCTAGGCAGAGACAAAGATGTTCTTTGTCCTCTGCAGGCTCTATGCTTTACTTCTGACCTGAGTGCCCTGGGCTGCCATCCCAGTCCCCAGTCACCTCCTTGAAGACCTGAGCCCTCCCCAGGCCGCCTGCCTTGCCTTCTCCCAGCTGGGGACCTGAAGGACCACAGACCCCAGAACAAGGGTTGCCCCTGCCTGCCTGGGGACAGCAAGGGAACAGAGAAACTGTCCCGGGCTGAATAGTGGGGGCTATTGGTTTATTTTCAGATCCCTGCCTGGAAAGATGATGGGAAAGCAGGCCCAGCAAGCTGTACTTTCACAAGTCAGGACCTATAATTAGTCCCTGCTTGAGGGTGGAATAAACCCCTGCTTGTTACTAAACAACAGCAAAAGCAGGACAACCTCCAGCTTCCCCCAACCCGGGGCTGCACAGGCCTCTGAGGACAGATACTTGGACAGAGCCACCTTATCTATGGACAACATCCAGATTACCCCAAAAGTTGCTCTGTCTCCTCCCAGAAGAGCACTCAGAGGTCAGGGAGGAGCAAGGCCACTGAAGTAGGGCCCCTCGCCTCATCTCACCTTCGGGCACTCTGCAATTCCTGCCCAGCCCCTTCACAGATTGCTCAAGGCATCCTCTTATTTATTAAGCATTTGCAGTCAACTGAGAAAATGCTACAAAATCACACACTCCATGTTCTTGCAGCTGGACAAAGCAATGCCAGAGCTTTCTGGGAGCACAGCCCCAAAGGAAGTTGATCCAAATGGTGGCCACGTTGACTCTGCAAGGCAGGACCTGCATAGCTGCATATCCACTCTGCCTTTCTGGAGCTGCATCCTACACACACCCCGGAGTTGGGTTAGGTTGGGTATTTTTTTTTCTGTCTACTGCTTGGGTCCCGAGTTTAAAAAGTAGAAACAAGTAAATAAAACTAATCCATACCAAAGTGGATAACTTAAAGCTTCAGGGTCCCTCACCTGCAATACTCTGTCCAAGGCCCAGTCGCTAATTTGATTTTGGTTGTTATCTATTTTTCTTAAAAGGGGTCTCTGGAGGGCCGAGGATTTAGCTCAGTGGCACTGCGCCTGCCTTGCAAGTGCAAGATCCTGAGTTTGATCCCCGACTGGGGAGGAGGGGGGTCCTCTGGAATTTCATTAAACTAGGGCCCCACATCTGCCTGTACTTCCCTTTCAGGGCTCCTAGTCTATGTCGCTTTGAAGCAGTTTTCTGCACAGTGTGGTTTTTGATCCTACAATCTGGACACTGGCTATGACCCAGGAACCAATGCTTGGGTGGAGAATTAATTTGTCAAGAGTGTCACTGTGGACAAAGTGGCACTGCTGAAAGATTGGGGCAGAGGGGGCTTCTGACTGTGGTTGGGGCAGCTCTGTAAAACAGGAGGAGAGGAGGCCCAGCCAGGCCTCAAGAAGGAAGGCCATGTGTGATGGGAACTCTTCGTAGTAATTATACTCAACTCTACTAATTAGATTTACTGATCTGCTGTGTTCTTGATATTCTGGTATCAGGGACCTCAGAATTTGGTCCCAGAATTAGGAATTTAGCTAATTCCTAAAGAACGCAAACCACCTGCCTGTGTGCACCTTTAATATGCAAAATAACCAGTCCTGAGGCCCTGCTCCCACCCTACCTCCTCTTCTGAGCGACATTCCTCGGCCTTCATCATGGCCGAATCAAGCAGCTGAGAACTCGGGATCACTCCTACAGCCCAGAGGCTTCTGCACTTATTCAAACAAGCCAATCCTAAACCTGTTTAGAAACTTACCCTCCTTCAGGCACTCCTTCCGTGAAATACACAGTCAAGGCTTCTGTGCGCATGTTCCGCTCCCTCCTTTAGCCTCCTGACCAGCCTGCTGCTGCCCCCTGTGGACAGTGTGGTGTAGTGCACCGCCTTCTAGGAAAATGTAATGAATGTTAAATCCCCACGAGTTGCGAACTTTCACAGGGTTCCCATAAGACTCACTTTGTAGGACTTGTGAACATATCTGCTTCTGAACATTCTCCCAGAAGGGAACTAGTTCGTAAGTCAGTTACCCCTAATCTGTTGGCCTCACCATGTCTGAATACAAATAAGATCATGGATCCATTTTTAAAGTCCCTTCTTGATGGTTTCTGGGAAATAGCCTCCTGATCTGGGCCGGGGGAAAGCTGGGAACTAGTCACTCATGGTCAAGTCTTTCATTTATTCATGCACTCTTTCAACAGATATTTAAGGAATGTTTAAAACCAGCCAGGCCTCAGGGGCACAGCAATGGAAGATCTGCTGCCCCTTGGCTGGGGTGGGGTGGGTGGGAGGTGGAGTTGGGGTGAGGTTGTCTCAAAACAGTGGGATAAAGGTTCTGATGGGGGAAAGCCAGGAAGCACAGCAGTGGAGCTAAGTCCCACTTTTGGGAAAAGTAGCAATTACCTTTCCCCTTGTTCCAAAGTGATCATCCTAATTTTGTTTCATTTCCTTGAATTTCCAACTAGCAAAACTCATCTTTGCTCCAGCCTGGCCCTGTGGCACACTGGGGACCAGGCAAGGTAGGGTCTCTCCCTCTCCCATGACATTCCTGTCTTTCATCTCTGGTGCGTGTAGACCTCCTCCTGGTTGATAAAGAACATGCAGCTGTAGTTATATACCCAAGAGTGGGGTTGCTGGATCTTAACGGTAGTTATATTTTTAGTTTTTTGAGGGGCTTTCATATTATTTTCCATTGCAGCTATAACTAATTTATATGCTCACCAACAGTATACAAGGGTTTGCTTTTATCCACATCCTCACCAGCACTTGTTATCTTTCATGTCTTTGATAAGAGCCATCCTATGTGAGATGATATGTCATTGTGCTTTTAAATTGCATTTCCCTGATGATTAGTGATTTTGAGTATGTTAGTTAACTTGATTTAATCATTCTACAATGTAAAATGTGTATTAAGAACATTGGATTATAACCCCTAAATATATATAATTGTTATTTATCAATTAAAAATAAAATTTTGCTGGGCATGATGGTAGATGCTGTAATCCCAGCTACCTAGGAGACTGAGGCAGAGGAATTAATTGTAAGTTTGAGCCCAGCCTGGCCAACTTAGCCAAAGCAATCCTATCTCAAAATAAAAATTTTTAAAAAGGTCTGGGGATATCGCTCAGTGGTACAGCATTTGTTTAGTGTGAGGCCTCTGGGTTTGATGCCCAATACCACCAAAAATAAAAATAAATAATTTTAAATTTTTTTTAAAATTTCGTGTGTGTGTGTGTGCGTGTGTGTGTGTGTTGACAAGAGAATCTCTACCAACCCCCACTTGTGGCAGATCCCAAGGGGCTTGGGGAGCCAAGTTTGAAAACCACTCTTCAAGTCTCTATGAAATCCCTAAATTATATGTACAATGTTTATATTTACATGGACATTGGAGGGTAGATGAAATTCTAGAACCACACTGTCCAATATGGTAAGTGGTAGACATTTAAATGTAAATTAATGGCAGTTAAATGAAATCAAATTTTCAGTTCCTCAGTCCTCTTTGCCCCATCTCACAGGCTCAGCAGCCATGCATGGCCTGTGTCAGATGGCAGCATAGACAAAGGACATTTCCGTCGTCACAGGAAGTTCTACCAGACACCATTAGTCTAGACTTGAACAGCTTCAAAGGCGTCCATGACCAGAATGTGTTCCAGTCTGCTAAGTAAAGCCAATGAAACTTCATTTAAGGAGTCACAAATCATTCCTGGATTGTCAAGAGCTCATAGCTGTGACAGAGGCTATGAACAGATCTGTATTTTAATAGCAATTTTGTTCCAAAATTCTAACCCTAAAATCTCTTAAAAGATCTTCAAATCGTATACCTTTTAATCTCCTTCCCCTCCCCCTTTTCCAAGAGGGAGACTAATTCTAAAAATACTTGTGTGTAAAAGATGCCTTCAGCTCCACTGTGTCTGTGTCTAGCACAAGTGACAGTGGCAAATGAGCAACCTTTCTCCTTGGTGTCATTCCAGGTGGGTGAGGCTGTCTTGGAGAACGCTCGGCTCATGCTGCAGACAGAGACCATCCAGGCAGAAGCAGATGACTTTAAAGAGAGGTAATGATCTTCACCAGCAGGGACAACCCCTCACACCCCCAGACTCCTGGGCAAGGCCCACAGTGCAGTGTCCCACAGTCTGCGTCATTCACCTACACCTCGTGAAAGGCGAGTCTGGGAATGAAAATGTTTACGTGAGAAAGTGAAGGCTTATGGATGGAGGTGGCACTGTAGACATTTATAGGGTTGCCAGAGGAATGATTAGACTGCCGCTGGGGTATTCCAGAGGCTGGAACTCAGACTTTTCCAGAAATGGAGACTTAAACTCTTGAAGGAAGAAATTTAGATAATTAGAGCATTCCAGAAATGGAATGGTGGCTTTGAAAAGGACGAGGTTACGGGCACTGGAAATATGCAAGCAGAGACCAGGGAAGGGTACAAGTTAAATATTAAATTCTAAAGTCCCTTATAATTCTAAGACTTGAAGATACTTCCTGGAATGAGAGGTTTGAGGTCGCTCCCTTTCATGGATTGATGATGGTAAGCTGTGGAGTTTGGCTGAGTGACACAGCCAAGGAAGGAAAGGAATGGCTCCAGTAACAATTGGTCAAGATGTCAAGGAGTTCCTAGAAAGAACATCCTGTTGCAAACTAGAGATTTTGCAGACTAGGATTGAATCAACTCACAGGTATCAACTTCCCTTTTACAACTGCTTTCCTTGTGGCCTATAGGTTTTGGTATGTTGTATTGTCATTATTGTTTGGTTCTAGGAATTGTTTAATTTCTTTCTTGATTTATTCTGAGTGTTCAGGAATGTGTTAATAACCAGGTAAAATTTATCTGGCTTCTTTTGCAAATGTTATCCAGTTTAAGTGATCTGAAAGTATACATGGGATGATTTTGATTCTTTTGTATTATTTAAGTAGTCTTTATGACTAGTATGTAAGGGTATTTTGAAGAAAGTTCCTTGTGTTGCTGGGAAGTAAGTGTGTCCTATACTAGTAGAATAGAACACTCTGTAGATGTCTATTAAGTCCATTTGTTTGAAAGGATGGTTCAGCTCTGGTATTTCTTTGTTAATTTTTTGTTTAGTTGATCTCTTTGTGATAATGGGGTATTGCGGTCATCCACTGATTTTGCTGGTGTTTATTTGATCTTTTATGTCCACTAGTGTTTGTGTTGCGAAGTTGAGTGTGCTGGTGTTCTATATATATATATATATTTGTTTTTGTTTTCTGTTGAATTGTTTCCTTAACCAATATGTAATGACCTTCTTTGTTTCTTCTGATCAGTTTTGGCTTGAAGTTCACCTTGTGTGAAAATAAGATGGGTACTCCTGCTTGTTTTCAGGCTCTCATTTCATGGAATGTTGTTTCTGATCCTTTGATTATTAGTCTATGAATTTCTTTTTGAATTAAATGTATTTCTTATTATATACAGCATGCCATTGGATTTTGGGTTTTGATGCAATCTGCCAATCTGTATCATGACTCGAGAGGTGACATCATTTACATTGAGAGTTATTACTGAAAGATATCAGTTTATTTCTGTCATTGCATTATTTTTCTATTGCTGATTCCTTTTTCCCTCTTCTACTTCACTGCTCACCATATGTAGTATATTCATTCCACTAGACTTTTTGGCATGTTGACTTCATTCTCTTTCTAGGATATCTTCGAGAATTTTTTGGAGTGCTGGTTTAAAGGTCAAAAAGGTGCTTTTTGTCATGTGAAGACCTATTTCTCCAACAATTTTGAAAGTTAGTTTTGCAGGATATATCAGTCTGGGTTAGAAGCTGTTTTCTCTTAGGACTTGAAACTTCACTGGGCTTGAACGTTTGTGTTGAGAAATCTGCTGTAATTCTAACAGGCTTACTTGTATAAGTGATTTGTTGCGTTTCTGTTCTTGTGTTGGATTTCTGGGATTTTGGTTATGATGTATCATAGAAGCTCTTTCTGATCATGGCTGTACATGCCTTGATGAGCTGTGTGTTAAATTCTTTCCCCATACTTGGAAAGTTTTCTGCTATTTTCTATAAACAGGTTCTTATGCCACTCATGCTGTCTTCTGACTTTCAGTAATTCCAGTTAATCTTAGATTAGTCTTCTTTGTGCCTTCTGGCAGCTGTTGCATCCATTTTTCCTGTTCTCTTGTTATTTTTAAGGTATCTCTGAGTAGATGGTCACTTGCCTCAGCTGTCTTCTAGTTCTGACTCTCAGTCCCCACAGTGGTCACTTGTGCTGCCCATACTTCCAATAGAATTATCTCTTAGGTTTCAGTTTGGTACTTCTTCATAAACTCTAATTCCTTGCTAAACTGGTCATTCATTTTATTTGTGTCATTTTGTTTGGCTCAACCAGCTTTTTATTAGTATCTTCTGTAAGCTCACTGATCATTGTGTTGACTTCCATGTTTCCCCCCAAATAAGACCTAGGCAGAAAGCAATGACCCTTGAAAACTAGAGATCAAAATGTCAGCCCTGTCTTACCTATTATTCCTAATAAAAGTAATAGCCTTTTCTAAATACCCTTAATACTCCTTAATACCCTTGCCTTACCTGCCTTACAGAATAGCCACTGAGTAAGAGAATAGTGTTATCAGGTAAAGCAAAAATAGGCTGATAGGGGTTGGCATTTTTTGGTCTCTAGTTGTCAAGACTGATTGTTTTCCAGCTAGGTCTTATTTTTGAAGAAAGAGGATAACTCCATTATCTATTTAGTTATATCATCTTTGAGCTCTTTTCCCTCCTCTTTTATCACTTCATATAATTCAGCTGTTTGGCTTTTTTTTGGTACCGGGGATCAAACTCAGGACCTTGCACTTGCGCAGCAGGCACAGGAACCACTGAGCTAAATCCCAGCCCCATTTTGGCTTTTTTTAATTTCTTCTCTGTTGCTGCCCCATGAATCAGCTTTGAGTTTTTGGAAGCATTTTGTTGTCTTCTTTTCCTGTGTTTCTATCAGGCTGTGTGTGTGTATGCACATGCTGAGAGTTGAGGGTTGATTATAGTGGAAAGACTTTTTTGCTAGTATGGAGTTCTCTTTAATTAGTATCTGCTTTCCAGTGATATACTCTAGGCATGACTAACTATAGGCCTTTGCCTCTGTTCCAAAATCTGACTACTTCCTTAATTTGGGAAGGGCAGAGTACAGTATAATTAGCCCAGCACCCAATTCTCTGAAAATGAACTGCAGTATTGTTGGTGAGACAAAGACAAACCAGATATTGGCATACAGTAAAAACCAATTAATAGCGACAACTATGCCATCTGACAATAGTAAGGAAATCAGCAAAAATAATATAGTCAAAGACAAACTAAATATTGATATACTGCAAGAATCAATAAAAGCTACCACTGTACCACCTTTACTACAGAAAAAGATCTTCAGCAATAATCAAATATTGACATACCATAAATATCTAGTAAGTACAACAACTATATCACCATTCACAATAGAAAAGAATTCTACAATAATAGCACAAAGTCAACCAATTATCTAAAAATAATAAAGTTTAATAGTAATAATAGTAGGGCTGGGGATTTAGCTCAGTGGTTTGGCTGCCTGTCTTGCAAGCTCAAGAACCCGAGTTTGATCCTTGGTACCAAAAAAAAATAAAGTAATACTAGTAAAAATGGAGGGGTGGAGAAGGGGAAATGAAAGTAAAATTTGAAAAATAAAGAAAAGAGAAGAGAAAAGTGAGATAAAGGATCTTATTAAGGAGTAAAAAAAAATCAATAGAACTAAATAAAAGTAACAGAAAAGAACAAGCAAGAGAAAAAAGAAAAAACAGAAAGTGAAATAAAAGGAAAAACCAATCCCCCCAAAAACAAATGATAAAAAAGAAATGAGTCTGAAAAAATTTCCTCCATGTGTTTGAATGAGTGGTCTCTTTCCAGAATCTGCATTATTGGAATCTACCAGATATGAGGGAGGGATAGTGAATCACTACCAAGACCTATTTTGTTCCCACACTCACAATTTTTTTTTTTTTTTCAGTATGGGGATTGAACTCGTGACCTTGCACTTGCAAGTCAGGCTGGGGAACCACTGAGGTAAATCCTCAGCCCTGACACTCACATTTTTTAATGTGAATGCTGAATCTTGCCCTGCCTCTCCTGTCAATGGTGTCTGCCCTAGGGCTGTATTCATTCCAGCTGCTTCCTGTTTCTGTGTCCCTCTGTGGGCCCCAAATCACAGCTTTCTCCACCTAACTTTATGACCTGTGGGTTTGTGAGGTACACGCATGCACGCACACACACACACACACACACACACACACACTCCAGAGGCCCTTCTGTCTGTACACCCCAGACTGTGTCAGCTGTCAACTGTTCAGGCTGAGGTGTATCCTTGATCATGTTGGCAGGTGGGGAAACAAATAGACCACTGAACTGTGTTGGGTGTAGGTATCAGGGCTGGGGAGAGGGTGTCAAGCAGGCCACTGGACTTAATGTCAGTAATTTCAGATCCAGCCCCCTCCAAAAACCACCATGATCAGCCTCACTTCTCACCACACAAAGCAAGACCCCATGTCCTTCCTTGTCTAAGCTTAAACTTCTCAGGGAGTCTATGTCTAGTCATGCCTTCTCCACAACTCTCTCTTGTGGCCATCTTCCACCCAGTCACTGTGGAAGGGGGGCCCCAGAAACCCTGAAGTGTAGCTGTTCTGTAGTTATTCTGTAGCTCAGTTTTAAACAACCACTTCCCAAAATGGCTCCTGATTAAATACTCTCAAATAGGGAAGGCACTGCACTGGATTTCTTTCCCAACACTAGTGTGCCTTGTGGGAATTACTTTCATAGTAAAACTCCATGACCTTTTGCAGTTTATAGTAACCATGGGCTTTACTTAGGGGTAGTACTGCCATCCTGGTCTGTTTTTCCCTGGTTGCTGACTCTCTCCAGGCTTACCTTGTGTAACAGAGCTGATTGCCCTCTCTGGAAGCCAGGGTTAGCATTTCAACTGCTTTGTTCCTTTCTCTGTATTGTACTGTTTCTCCAGCTTCTCTGTTTCTAGTTTTCCTGTCATCTCCCTCCCAATTTCTGGAGACCTACTTCTTTTTTTATTCACCAGGTTGTTGTTTTCCAGGTGTCTCCATTCCAGATCCCAGAGAGGCTATATTTTGCTGCTGGACTTTACTCCACCATTTTTAATCTCTTCAAAAGTTGTAAATACTTTAAACTCCAGATATTTCAAATACAAATCCATGCTTCCCATTTCTCTTAAAGAGAACTGGCCCCCTGGTCTAAGTCCTTCCCACAGAGTAGTAATGAGTAGGAGTCAAGCAGCAGCACCTCCTATAGATGAAGTATGAGCTCTATCATGTGCTTCCATCCCCAAGCCTCCCTGTAGCCCAGACCCTGCCCTGGCCCCTCACCTACATTCCCCAAGTGGTCTCTGAAGGCATTCGGGTTTGCAGTCTGGAATTCCAACACATTCCCTGTTTTGGGATCCCCAGCTGGCACTTAGCTAGGTCCCTAGTAATGATTGTTAAAGGGTCCTCAGGTGAAAAGCAGGACAATTTAGGATAGTGATGAAGATGCTGGATCCCCTGACCTGGATCTGAACTCCTGGAGAAGGCTTCCTTAGAGCAGTGTGTTCCCAGTGCCCCAGGAGGCTGCATCCATGAAGTCAGTTTATCAGAAGCTTATTACAATCACTTTCCTGTTAATAAATCAACCTGTGACAATTGCAGTACTGTGACAAACTGCAGCCCTCAAAGCTACTGGAACAGTGACTTAATGTTCATTGCCTACCAAAATATTGGCCTTTTGGTAACATTTATAATCTGATTTTTTTTCCTTTTGTGTTACCCACCTATGCTGATTAAGTTCCTTTATTATGCAGATATGAAAATGAGCAGCCATTTCGAAAGGCAATGGAAGAGGAAATTAGCTCTCTGTATAAAGTCATTGATGAAACTAATTTGACAAAAACAGATCTGGAGGGTCAAATAGAAAGTCTGAAAGAAGAACATGACTTTCTGTCAAGGAGCTATGAAGAGGTGGGTGGTATGGAGCTTGCTGGGTGGCCACATGAGTGAGTGCTCCTCTGTCTGGCTCTCCTTCCCAACATAGGCTATGGGATCCTCTCAACCTCTCTTCATTCCTTGCTGAGACCTTCAGGGAAAAATGCCAGCAAAATATTTTCAAGCCCTTGTAGTGGGTCCAGAAGTCTCCAACTCAGATGGGCTGGAACCTCAGGGGGCAGCAACAGGTCTGAGCAGAAGTGAGTGGTGGATCCTGTGTTGGGTTGGAAGGAGTCTCTCCCTCCCAAAGGCATTCTACCTTTTCTTTAGCTCTGTATAGGATGAACAGAATAACTGCATGCAGACCAAAGCTATGGTTTCCACACACTCATCAATGCAGTTAGGTTAGATCCCTGGGTAACATGACTGAAAGACTCCTTCACAGTCACATGGTAGTTCCCCGCAGGACTGCACTGATTCTAACCCACTTCACATGTGCTGTTGTCTAATGTGCTTCTAACTGAAAGAGCCAAAACCCACTCAACAATGCTTCCAGAAGTTCCTCCTTGTATCTGCCCTTCAGCTAACCAACATATGTGAGCCCACTTCCTCCTCTTCCCTATCTCTATTAGCAGTAACCCTTCAGGGACTCCAAAATTATCTTAAATCTCTTTTAGCCTAGCTTGATCTGATACCCAAGTTTGGTTTGCTGTTGTTGCTTACTTTATTTTTGTTTTTATTTGTTTATTTTGATTTTTGCTTTGGGCCAGGGCTTGTGAAAACCAACCTAAGAAATGCATCCTTGGAAAAAGAGAATCTAGCATCCATGCCAGGAAGAGGATCAGGGACGCGGCCAGTCTCTGTGAGCCCATACTCGACAGTAGCAGAATGAGAACCCCAGTTATTGCCCACTGAGCTGGCCTTCAGCTGGCTCAATGTCTGTGTATTTTCAGAACTCACCTAAGGTGTGTATTGTTGTTTTCAGGATGTGAAGATGTTGTACAAACAGCTGGCAGGGTCTGAGCTGGAACAAATGGATGTTCCCATTGGCACCGGTCTGGATGACATCCTTGAAACAATCAGAATTCAGTGGGAAAGAGATGTGGAAAAAAACCAGGCAGAGACAGGAGCTTTGCTCCAAGCCAAGGTAAGAAGCAGGACCAGCATCCCACACCCTGCCCTACACAGAAGAAGGCAAACAAAGACAAGAGCAGTCATTGTGCAAAAGAGGAAATGTAACTATTTAATAACAAGGTCAATTTTGTTAGACATGGATGAAATGCAAATTAAAATAATAACCTTATGTTTACCTATCTGAAAGCAGAAAATGTTTAAAAGGATGCTGCTGGCCAGCAAGTAGAAAAGTAGATTCTTGACTGTGTTACTGAGGAGCACAAACTAGTACAGCACCTTTGAATACAGAACTTGGTGGTATGTATCAAGAGTGTTAAAATGCCCCTACCTACTAGTTGAATAATCTGGACAATATCCTAAAGGGGGAATTAAAATGCAAAGGTTGGGGATGTAGCTCAGTGGTAGAACACTTGCCTAGTATGAACAAGGCCTAGGTCCCATCCCCAGCACTACAATAAAAAAAGGGAAAAGAAAATACAAATGGTTATATCCACATATACACACTGAGGTATTATAAGAGCAAAAAACCTGGGGGGCAAAAATATATAAATATTTAGTATTAGGAAAAGGAGTAAGGTACAACCTAATTATACTATGTTCAATAAAATATAAAACAGCCATTAGAAATGACATTTATGAAGCATTTACAATAACATGGGGAAATGCTCATGCTAAAAGGTGGGAAATGATGGTAGAATGGTATATACCAGAGACCAAAGGCTTTTTTTGTGAAGGATCACACAGTAAATATTTTAGACTTTAGAGGCCAGATGGTCTCGTTGCACACTCAGCTCTCCCAACTGCAGTGTGAAACAGCCAGAGATAACAGGGAGCAAATGAGTGTTACTGCAATAAAATTTTATTTAGAGAAACAGAAGGTGAGCTAGATTAGACCTTAGAGCTGTAGTTTGCCAACTCCTCATATGTACAGTGGGGTATTTAAGTATCTCTCAAGTTTTTCTCAAGTACTGTAGTATAAATTATGTTCACAGGGAGAACAAACAACATTCACTAAACCTCATAATTAACAAAGGAATTACTGGAAAACAGAATCCAGAGGATCTATTCTTCCTTTCCCCATCTACCACCCATTCATGGCTCTGGAATTTTAAGGTAGAGGATGAATGGGGTAGAAGAGGAAGAAGAATGTGAAGAAGTGAAGAAAATAAGGTAGACCTTTGAGAAAAGGCAACAGGGTTGCTTCTAAGCTCTTGGTTGTCAGTAAGTGGTTCTCAATCCTAGCTGTACATCGGAATGATCTCAGAGCATTTTCCAAAATGCCAGTGCCCAGGCTCCATTCCAGACTACTGAAGTCAGAGGAGCACGGGAACTTTGTGATTTTTTTTAAGGTCTCTGGGTGATTCTAATGTACAGCCAGGCTGGAGAGCCATGACAGTCATAAAGCTACCAAAGGAAATAGTACAGCCTTTTCTGTGCTTTCTTCTACCATGTCCTTCAATCCCCTGCCCCCTAAGCACTAGCAGGGACCATCCTTGCAGGGCCCTCCCCAACTCTAGACCCCAACTTCCACCAGTCCATAAAAGATCTTTTACTCTCCCATTTTTCCATCCACTGTACCCTTTCAATAAGTTTTTTCTTTGTAATCATCAATTCCTTAAGACAGATCACTACACTTTTTTATAGCAAGTGGTGCCTAGTAAGTAAGTTAACAAAATGAATTCCCCTCTCCACCCAAGATGGTGGGAGGTAGAGTGACACAAAGGTGAAGTGAAGCCAAGCCATAGATTTGATTTTGTCTTATTTTTTCCCTAGTACTAGGGATTGAACACATGGCCTTTGTACTAAGCTATGTCCACTGGTCTTTTTAAATTTTTAAAAATTTGAGATAAGGTCTCATTAAGTCACTAAGTTACCCAGGCTGGGTTCAAATTTGGCGATCTTCCTGCCTCAGCTTCCCAGAGTGCTGGGATTACAGGCATCCACCAACTCACTGGGCTGAGTTTCTGACTTTGACTCTTTTTGAAGAGACTTCTGAATATTTAACAGCACTGAATACCATCTAACCTTATTTCCTCATTTTAAAGGGATAGAAAGTGAGACTCAGGGATGACAATTGTCTTCCCAAGTTCACACAGCTGTTGGGTAGCACCAAGTTCAATTCTCCTGGCTGTTGGTCTAAGGACCTTTTTCTGAAATTGGACTACATTATTTCTTTCCTACCCCTGTGCTCAAAGTTAATCCCAGTGGCCCACTGGTTGGCAACCTTGTTGGTGCGTATACCACACTGTAGTAATCATTTCTTTGGGAAGGGGTTGGGACATTCTAATTACCAGAAAGAAATCTTGCACAGTGTGAAAAAAACCTGATCATTAATATTCACCCCTCACCCCTTTGAGAATCATCACCAGCCCCACAGTAACTCAAACATTAATTCTCAACAGATTCATTAGTGTGTTTTCAATAGTGTAATCTGAAAGCTACATCTCAGAGAAACAGACAGTACTTGTTTTAGTTTGGCCAGTGCTGTCTGGGCCTCTTGCAGAGAGAAAGAGCTCAGAAAATATTTGCAGAATGAGTGAATTCCTCTGATCATCAACAGAGATCAGAACTGATGACCAGAATTCCTTCAATAAATAGTTTTGTCAGATGCAGTTGTGCCCTTGGGGGCTGACATTTGTCTGTCCTGAGCATCTCTTGTCTGTTTCTTGGCAGCAAAGCATAAATAGGAAATGGCTTGACACCTAAACTGCTTTCAAAAGCTTTTGTAAAGAAAATGCAAACATGCATTTAATTACCTTTCAGCCCAAGGAGGCTGGAAATTAATTAACATAATTAACTTATGTCTTAGTTTAGGTTCCTCCAGAAGCAGGTCTTGAGGCAAATATTGGAGTGGAAGTGTTTTATTTGGGTGGGGTGGGGAGGGGATGGGAGGACCAAGAAAATGCCAGTACGGGGAAAGCCAAGAAGAGAATCGACACAGCGTGCATTATGAAAGCAGCTACCCCTGGGCAAGAGGGGTGGGGGGGGTTGTAAGCCCAGGGGCGTTCTGGAAAAGGCATAGAATGCAGAGGCACCAGGTGAGGGAGCTCCCGTATTAACACCAAGCCCCATAGGTCCTCGGCCGTCTGCTAGCAGAGTGACCTTTCTCGGGTTGCAGGGAAAGCTCTCAGGCAGATATGTGGAATCTGGGAAGGAGCGCGATAGTACTTTGAAGGCCTAAAGGATGGAAGCAGGTACCATCAGCACCTGCGACAACTTATCTGCCAACTCTTCATGTTCGTAATCATTAAAGGATTATCCAGAGGTTCTGGCTAGGGTCCATCTATAACCATATTCTCTCCAGCCAAGATGTTCTGGATGTCAGGATCCTCGGAGCTCCAGGTGTTTTAGTCTCCAGAGTTGCACAGCTCAGTGGCTCAGTGGTTGGAGGGCGAGGCTGATCCTGAGTACCTTAAAATATGGCTCTTTCTTGGGTAATTGTTGTGGTTACCTAATGCAGGGTATTTAGGGAGGCTTCACAAATTCAGACCATGTCCTGCCACTCTCTGGACCTCCTGGTTAGCCATGTAAAAGAGGAAAAAAAACAAACGCAAGAAAACTATTTATTTTTCTATGCTCTCACACACTTCTAGCACTACCCCTGTCAAAGAACAAAATTATAATTTAGTATAGTGATCCTAGTTGTCTTTTCTATTCCAGAATCGGGCAATACATTATTCTGTGAAACAGAGTAAGTGTTACAATAAGCAGAAGAGGTTGGTTTTATAGACTGAAAAGAGTTGAAGAAAGCAGAAACAAAAGCAAAAAAGCAGATTGGTAATTTCAAAATTATTTTCCTTGTAAAGTCAGGACAGGGAGACAGAGCAATATAAAAGTACTGTAACTAAGGCTGGGGATTTAGCTCAGTGGTTCTGGTGCCTGCCTCGCAAGCGCAAGGTCCCAAGTTCAGTCCCCGGTACCAAAAAAAAAAAGTACTGTAACTAGTTGGTAAGCATCAGGTACTTCAGATGATCTTTTTTGTGTAAGGATTAAAGCTAAGGGGCCATTATTATCAGGCCAATTGATTACCTCTATGAAAAATTTGGTCATTAGCCCTCTAATCCTAATTTCTCAGAGAGTCAAACATCTTAGCCTCAGCTTGGTGATGATGTGGAATTGTTAGCATGAGTGACTCCATTTTGATTTTTAACTTGATCTGCTGAGGCCCAGTGTAGCAGTTTGCTGCAAAACAATGACTGCCTATAATTTTTATCTAACACACTAAATGTGTAGGTCTCTTCCACATCAAGCAGATATCCAAATGTCAACTGGGTATCCTAAAATTCAGTTCAATTCTGGCACCATCTACCTGGAGTTATCATCGAATCTCATAAGTGAAGGGTTCAGTCCAACAAGACTGTCCTTATGATGACAATCTCAAGTCTGGCCCCTCCATAAATCTGACCCACTGCCTGTAAATTGGAGTTGTTCACAACCCCCTCCTCAAATGCCATAACTTGCTAGAATGGCTCACAGAATTCAGGGAAGGACTTTACTTATTTTTACTTGTTCATTATAAAGGATACAAGTCAGAACAGCCAATGGAAGAGATATATAAGGTGAGGTGTTGAGAAGGGTACAGCATTCCCTTCCCCCTGGGGGGTACCCCCCTCCCAGAACCTCCACCTGTTTCCCCCTCCTGGAGGCTCTTCATGCCTCATCCTGCAGGGGTGCATACAATCATTATTTCCTAGACATGACTAATTGAATCACCAGCGAAGATTAAGTCTGCTTTAATCGATTCAGTCCCTCTTGCCTCCCAGGTCACACAGTGAGTGAGTTCCCCTAGCAACCAATTCTTCATCCATACAGGTGTTCCTAAAGACACCTCCTTCACATCAACTCAGGTGTGCTTGAAAGGGGTTTGTATAAATGACCAGAAAAGACACACTCCTTCACTTTTTTTCACTCTGAAGCTATTTCAGGAGTTGGAGACACAAACCAATTATAGTGAAAGCTCCTATGGCTCTTATCACTTAGGAAATTACAAAAATTTTAGGAGCTCTGACTAGG